TCAAGATTCTAAGAAGAAAGTTATAAGGTTTTTTGAGGCAAACCTTTTAACTCCCACAGCATCATCTCTACAACACAGTATTCTATTGGTCAAAGCAAATCACAAAGTCAGTTCAAATACAATAGGGAGAGAAATATACTCCACCTCTTGAAGGAAGCTGCTGCAAATTCACGTTATAAAAGGGCATGCATACAGGAATTTGTGACCATTAATCAATTGATGATGTATTGTCAAACAACATAGTAAATAGCATCTATTGATATGTTTGTTGTACATCTTGTTAAGTAAATTATCCACCATTACTTTTAAATTCAAGTTGATCTATGATTCTTGTTTTGAACCCACATTTACATGGTGGGCAGTTCAGGATGAAACCAGGGAAAATGTAAACACTTCAAAATGTAGCAGCAGCTGGAAAAGAACTGGTAGTACTGAGCATTTGTACATGGGCAATCATAAGTCTTCTGTAAGTAGGAAAAGCTGTATATGTGTCTCCAAGATGTCTCAGATAATGTTTAAGGCCTAGAGAATGAAATTAGTGACCTACACATAGGCTTTCTCCTCAGCTCCTAGGCTTTAAAGGGTCAGTTTGTTTTTTGAGACTCAATACCTGTGTCTCCATCATAGTTATGGGCATCATGAGCTTATTAAGAATGATAAGAATTCTAGAGGAAGCCCAGAGGAGTAAAGAAACAGAGGTAAGGAAAGCAGATTCAAGGTCAGGAAAACTTCTACCAAAACAATAATAAGCACAAAGATTATCCTCATTTCACAGTGATGACAAATCTGACAGGATTATTTTTCAGTTATTTTTGTACGTACTTGAATTCAGGCCCTGAGACTGTGATGGCCAGTTTTGAATTGAATTCTGTGAACAGTTGTTTTAGCAACCGTCAAACACTTGCTGAAGTTTTGGAAGAGGGCAGGCATCAAAAAGACTAGTGAAGTGACACTTCTTATACATGACTTTCAGCAGAAAAATTTTTTTTTTTTGAGTTAGAGTCTTAATCTGTCGCCCACCACCACCACTGCAGCCTCAACCTCAGCAGGGAATTTTAAGACAAATCACAAGAAGCTTCTGAGTTGTACATGTATACAACAGTACATACAGCTCCTGAAAAGGACCTCAAATGTAACATCCTCTCCCAACTTTCAAAATCATATTGGCCAGAGAATAGTAAAGCTGCCTCAGGTGGGGCTTGAACTCACAACCTCATCATTGCTCACAGGTGTATATGTACTGCATTATAAATGCTGTGCACCGATAGTTCCTCTAGAGCTACAGGAAGTGGGGGATGGGTGGGTTTGAGGAGGTATTAGTGAAGATGCTTTTATGGAAAAAAAAGTAATTTTATTTATTTATTTTTAAGTAGGAGTCTTACTCTGTCACCCAGGCTAGAGTGCAGTGGCACGCTCATGGCCAATGTAGCCTCAACCTGCTAGGCTCGGGTGATCCTTCTGCCTCAACCTTCCAAGTAGCTGGAACCACAGGCAGGCACCACTACACCTGGTCAAGTTTTTTACTTATTGTAGAAATGAGGTCTCGCCAAGTTGCCCAGGTTGGTCTCGAACTCCTGGACTCAGGCAGTCCTCTTGCCTCCACCTCCCAAAGTGCTGGGATTACAAGCATAAACCACTGCACTCAGGGGTAAATCTTTTTAAACATTGTGGTTTAAAGTATCAAATAATATGAACAAAAAGTCTTCTGATATAAGACTTCCATGAACGAGATGAAAAGCAGCAGTCAAGGGAATCTGGAATTAGCCAATGTAGAGCCTTTTTCCTCTGGGGCAGAGGGTTGCAGTCAACTACACCTTGACTTTTTCTGCTCAGATTTTCCCATGGCTTCTTTAAAATCAGGCTGCTATTTAAAAGCATTTGAATGAAATAAAGTCACACTGATGGCTGCATATTAAACAGATGTGTCTATCTCTACACTCTGGGGAAGCTTCCACTCAGGAGTGCTTTCCACCTGTAGGAAACTAGTGCGTTTTTCCACTGCTTTGTATTCACACAGCCTTTCCATCTTTGCCATTTCTACTTTCCTGCACCTCCACTCGGTGCTCCGCTAGTCTTCCTTTCTGTTTTAAATGAAATGCCACCCACTTACTCCCACCCAGACACTCACTGGTTTTTAATCTATGACATGCTGGGGTCGGGTGATCCTTCTACCTCAGCCTTCCAAGCAGCTGGAACTACGGGCATGCACCACCACGCCCAGCTAATTTATTTATTTATTTATTTATTAGTTGTAGAGATGAGGTCTTGCCAAGTTGCCCAGGCTGGTCTCAAACCTGTGGGTTCAGACAATACTCTCACCTAGGCTTCCCAAAGGCCTGGGATTATAGTCTTGAGCCACCACGCCCGGCCTAATCTAAGAATGTTAATACTTTGCTACCTGTAACACTCAGAGAGCCAATATTTACTTTAGAAAAAAAATCAGTATTTTAAATAGATGCAACACAGGTTAAGTAGACGCTGAAAAACAGCAAGATCATTATTTGAAAAATTTCTGAAGTTTCATATCTTGAGAAATCCATTGTTTGTGTTTGTTATATTTCATTTCAGGTTTTTTCTATGAAGTTTTGCAGAGAAAGATTAAATATTTTTTAGCACTCTGCCAAAGTTATTAAACAATATAAACAAAATAGCCCCTCTAACTAGCACAGTCCTTTTTATTTTCTTAAATTGAATGTCCTTTGGGCCTCCTGTGACACATAGTCATCTGATGGGCTTCCCAGCATTACATGGTAAACCGACCCCAACCTACCCACTTTTCTGAACTTTTGATCCCTTGTTTATGCTATCTGTCACAACAATCCTGTCATTTCTACCATATTTAATGTGAGTAATTTCTTTTTCCAAACAGGCGCCATCCTAACAGTGTGTTGAGTTCTTGCTAGTGTGCAAAAATTCTGTATTTGGGGGAAGTGTTCCCATATCAATGAACTCTTCTTATCAAACTTTTTTTTTTAAGTAGGAGTCTTACTCTATCTGAAGGGTGGAGTGCAGTGGCATGGCTCACCTTCCACCCGCTGCGTGCCACCACACCTCACTAATTTTTTTGATTTATTGTCGAGATGAGGTCTTGTCAAGTTGCCCAGGCAGGTCTTGAACCCCTGGACTCAGGCAATCATCTTACCTCTGCCTCCCAAAGTGCTGGGATTACAGGTGTGAGCCACCACACCCAGCTCCTTCTCTAACTTTATGTTGCACTTCTTTTGTTCAGGAACTCTAAGAATCTAGTTCCATATGGGGCAGATGCTGCATGAGTGACAGAGGCACATCATGTTTGGCAGGACAGAATCATCTACAGTAATAAGGAGGGGTGAGCCACTTAAAGTTTCAAGGGTCCTGGGAAATTCAAGGATTCGGATATTCTGATACGTCAAAACAGGTATCTCTATCCAATATCTCATGATTCTATTCTTTTCCAATCAAGGCGGTGACCTTGGCATAAAAAACAATCTACGTTAGGAAGTCAACTTCCTTTGGTGTTCTATATTCTATTCCTATGATTAAGTCTTGAACCTGAACCTGAGTTTTTTGTGCCCTTGAGTTACAGGATTGGAGAGGTTTTTTTGTTTGTTTTTTGTTTTGAGTTGGTCTCACTCTGTCACCCAGACTGGAGTGCAGTGGCCGCTCCCGGCCACCGCAGCCTCAACCTGCTGGGCTCCGGTGATCCTTCCGCCTCAGCCTTCCGAGTAGCTAGAACTATAGGAGTGTGCTACCACGCCCAGCTAATTTGTGATTTATTGTAGAGGTGAGGTCTCACCAAGTTGCCCAGGCGGGTCTCGAACCCTCAGGCTCAGGCAATCCACTCACCTCAGCCTCCCAAGGCACGGGATTACAGGCTGAGCCACCGAGCCCGGCTGGAGAGGTTTTTTAAAAATACAATCCCATAGAGGCATGCTTCCACACTTATCCTTTATTTAATGATATATCATCCTCAGCCTTAGTCTCTCCCTAAAACATCAATTTCCTCTAACAATGACCATCCAATTTTATTACCTTATGAGTACCATCCCCTTCGTGTTTCTCAAGCACTGGATACATCACATCTGTTAGAACATATTCCACCAAGACACCATACCAGCTCAGGTTTGGCAATATTTTAACAACTGCGCTGCTACTCTGTGCCAACGGTTATTTGTGTTCGACTCATTCCCTCATTATCAACCAGATGGTGAATAAGTCAAACCTCAAAAATCTCATCCTAGCATCTTCTCTCTCAGATCATTGTTTTGGTCCCAACAATTGCAGGTTGAGTTACCTGGAAAGTAGACTCTAAGATAGAGATTTGCATTTATAAAGTTTACTAGGGCATTACTCTTGTAAAGGAGTAACACTTGACTGGCAAAGAAGAGAAGCAGAATTTGTCAGAGGGAAAAATTGGACTGCAGTACAAGCACAAAAAGCCAGCAGCCTACTCTTGCCACTGGGATGGCCCTTCACAGTTGTCCTAAGTTGAGCAGTCAGGGCTTAACCTTTATACTCCTTATGGACCGAAATTGGATACAATTTTTGTCCTAGAAAGGACACAAACTTGGTCTGAGGCAACTCCTGAAGAGGGATGACAACTGAGAGTCATCAGGTGACAACATTCCAAATGCTATTTCTACACCTCTAGGTTTGAAAGAAAAGAAGGAGTCAGGATGTCTAGGGATGTTCTTCTTCAGGATACAATGGCAGATGACAGACTGAACCATTCTCATGGAAGGATAATTCTCCTTTGATGGATATGAGTGATTCAATTGATAACAGAGTTCTGGGGATTTAGGGTTTCCATTTTTTTTATTCTTCATTCACATACTACCGTGAGGAGAAATAGCAGTAGGCTTTCATACATAAATCCAGAGAGAGGGAACTTTGGCAATATGGAAGTGATTTAGTCAAGTGGAGGCCATTTAGGAAGAGAGTATATAGAAGATGGACTTTTTTTGTTTTAACTAGGTCATTAGGTGAGAAACAGGATGGCTCTTGCCCCTAATTGCATCTTCCTATGTAGTTTTGAATTGCTTCAGGTACTCCAGGATATCTGATTTGACTATGCTTACTGCAGTCCAGTGGGACCAGCGCATGACAGGGACTCCATCAGGCCCCACCAAAAACTTTTCAAAGTTCCAACGAATGTCATGAACTTTTATGGGTTCCCAGGAAATATATGTGAATGAGCCCAAAATCTCAGAGGGGTGAGGACAGGAATGCTGAAAAAAAGAAAAAACAATATTATTTCTATTCTGAGATGATCCAGGCTATTTTCACCCACAGCTAATTCACTCCCTCTTGTGCCTACATATTTTAATTTACTGTTATTCAACTAACAGTATGTTGTAAATATTATAGCAGTGAGAATGTCCATCATTAATAAAAAAAAACAAAACAGAAGCTGGCAAAGATGCAGAGAAAAGGGAACGCTTCTACACTGCTGGTGGGAATGCAAACTAGTTCAATCTCTATGGAAAACAGTGTGGTGATTTCTAAAAGAACTGGAAATTGAACTTCCATATGATCCAGTGATCCCCCTACTGGGAGTATACCTGAAGAAACTCAAATCATTCTATAAAAAGATACCTGCACACACATGTTTATTGCAGCACTATTCACAATAGCAAAAACATGGAACCAACTATACTGCCTATCGAATCTGGACTGGATAAAAAAAATATGTGGTACATATACATGATGGAATATTACACAGCCATAAAGAAAGACAAACTTAATGACTTCACAGTAATTTGAATGGATTTAGAGTCTATCATACTCAGTGATCTATCATAGAAACAAAGAACTTAGAAGCTCATGTTCTCACTCTTAAGCAGACCCTGAATATTTACCATAATACTATAAGAAAGGGATTGGCAGCAGCTGGAAACTGCCAGGGGAGGGAGAGGAGCACATAACATTAATAAAGGTACCTGATCTCAAATCGGGTGAAGTGGGGACCAAAGGGAGGCCCAAACTTTACCTATATGAAGACCACTTGTATAACTAATCCTGAATTATACCCCATATCTTTAAAAAAAATTATAGGCCAGGAGCAGTGGCTCAAGCCTGTAATTCCAGCACTTTGGGAGGCCAAGGTGAGAGGATTGCCTGAGACCAGGGGTTCGAGATCAGCTTGGGCATCTTAGTAGGACCTCGTCTCTACAGTAAATCAAAATATTAGCTGGGCATGGAGTGCATGCCTGTAGTTCCAGTTACTTGAAAGACTGAGGTGGAAGAATCACTTGAGCCCAGCAGATCGAGGCTGCCTCAGCCTTCCAAGTAGCTGGAACTACAGGCATGCGCCACCATTCCCTGCTAATATTTTGATTTACTGTAGAGATGAGGTCTCACCAAGTTGCCCAAGCTGGTCTCGAACCCCTGGTCTCAGGCAAGTCTCTCACCTCAGTCTCTCAAAATGCTGGGATTATAGGTGTGAGCCACCACACCTGGCCTGTTTTTTTTTTTTTTTTAATTTTTTATTTTTTTATAGAAATGAAGTCTTACCATTTTGCCCAGACTGGTCTTGAACCCCTGGGCTCAAGTAATCCTTTTTTGCCTCTGTTTCCCAGAGTGCTGGGGTTACAGGCATGATTCCCTGAGCCTGACCAGAAAAAAATGTTTAAGACACTACAATTTCATCATTTAATTTTAAAAGATCATTGGAGGAGTATATTGCATGTGGGTCATAATCTTTGAATAAAGGTCAGCCCTATAAGTTAGACGAGTTGAGTTTATAAAACCTTCCTTACACTGTTCTATTGTCTTCAACTTAGAACAAATAAATGTCTTAACATGGGGTACTCTTGTTCCACAGTCCAGCACTTAGGAACAAGTCACTCTGGGAAACTTTAGGGTCCTTTCAGTTCTGGCATTCACTATGTCTAAAAATCAGTTTCAAAAAAGGTGCCTACTACATTGTATCATACCTGCTGATTTCTAACTCTCTCTCTAGTATCAAAGGCAGGGATTCATCAAGGTAGAGACTATGCCTTTACTCATCTTTATATTATTATTTAGGTTGGCTTCTAGAGAGCAATCATTAAGTGTACCTTGAATGAGTGAATATATGTCAATGAGCAAAGAGGGTGGTCTCAGTAAAAGCTGCCACTCCCCACAACTCTCTCCAACACATAGAAGTAGAGCCCCGTAGATACTAACAGATTAAACCCACACCCGATGCTGATTTGGAGATTTCCTCCAAAAAGACCAATTCTACCTCTAGGTATGAGCCATTGGATCCATTTCCAGCACTCCAAATCTGTGCTAAATATTAAGGAAGAGGAAGAGGCTTATGCCAGAAATTCACTCACCTTCAAGAAGGTGAAGACTTTCTGTTCTTTCTCACCATTCACATTCCCTTTCTCAAAAAGCTGGAAATTAGGAACAAATCCTCCCCCTGGACGGACATACCTGCAATAAGCCATAATGTTCCCAGGAAGCTCCAGGATATGAGAGAAGGTTAAGATGACGCGCTAGGATTTCAGGTCATAAGAGAGGGCAGAAATAGGGAGATGCTGTAGATAGGGGTGGGGGAATAAGGCCTTTCCCCCCCCCTTTGAGCTCTGATTCACTTTATTTCTCTCTATCCCACAACCCATTTCTGTTACCCCATTAGTTCTATACTTTCTTTCTTTCAGAATCCATTCAAGTCTCAGCCAGGGATGAAGTGACAGTCTCTGGAAACTGTCAGACTTTCATCAGCGCGTAGGCTAAAGTTAAAATGGGCTTGCATTGTCCCCAAGCCTGTTAATCCACTGCCTCCCCAGGAAGTTCCAGAACTGGAAGGGCCTCTGGAGATGGAAAAAGGTAGACAGGGGCCTCCTATTGGATTTCAAGCAGGCACTTACTTGAGCCCAGGAAGAATCTCTGTGTTCTCTCCTGGTTCTTGCTTTCCAAATTGGTTGCAAGGAAAGCCCAGCACAACTAGGCCGAAGGGCTTCAGCTCCTCCTGAAGAGCATTTAGTTCTGGAGTTAGAGAAGGGACAACATATTGACCAGGTTAGAGAATCTGCCTTGTACAGGGATCTTTCACTTATCCATTTTACACAGAAGGAAACAGAGACCCAGGAAGGAATCAGAAAGACTGTTAGTGGTATAGTTGAAGTTAGATACCAGATCTTCAGACATGCACTCCAAAGTCCTTTATTATAATGCAGTTTTCCAACCCTGTAGCACATCAGAATCAGTTGAAGACCCTTCCTTAAAAATAGGGATTCCTAGCCCGGTGCCGTGACTCAGTCTGTAATCTTAGCACTTTGGGAGACCAAGGAGAGAGGATCGCCTGAGCCTGGGGGTTTGAGACCAGCTTGGGCAACTTGGTGAGACCTCATCTCTACAATAAATCACAAAAACTAGTCGGGCATGGTAGTGTGTGTCTGTAGTTCCAGTTACTTGGAAGGCTGAGGTAGAAGGACCATCTAAGCCCAGCAGATGAGGAAACTGAGAAACAATTGTTCATGTGGTGGCCACTGCACTCCAGCCTGAGTGATAAGAGTAAGACCCCAACTCAAAAAAACAAAAACAAAAACAGGGATTCCCACATCCCATTTCAGAGAATTTCTGTACTCTGAAATGGTGCTCAGTCATCTTTCTTATTCAAAAGTTCAGGCAATTTTTATTTAATTTTAATTTTTTTTTTCACTTGGAGTCTCACTTTGTTGTCCAGGCTGGAGTACAGTGGCATGCTCACAGCCACTGCAGCCTTGACCTGATGGGCTCAGGCAATGCTTCCGCCTCAGCCTTCCAAGTAGCTGGAACTACAGGCGTGCACCACCATGCCTGGCTGATTTTATGACTTAATGTAGAGATGAGATCTCGTCATGTAGCCCAGGCTTGTCTCGAACCTGTGGGCTCAAGCAATCCTCTCGCCTCGGTCTCCCAAAGTACTGGAATTGCATGCATGAGACACTGTGCCTGGCTGGCTATTTTTATTATTTTTTTAGTTAGAGTTTCACTCTGTTGAGTGTGTTAGCGTGTTCATGGCCACAGCAGCCTCGACCTGCTGGGCTCAGGTGATTCTTCTGCCTCAGCCTTCCAAGTAGTTGAAACTACAGGCACCAC